CAATATTCTTTATTTCTCAGATGTGATTTTTGTTACTCCTTTAGCTGCTTGAGTCTTCTTGATTATACAGTATGTTTCTTAAATAAGATTGAACTTCAGCCTACTGTAGACCTGTTTACGCCATACTGCCCAGCAACATTAGGCATCTTCTGCCCACTCTCTACCTTTGCTATTATACTCTCATCTTTCAAAAAGAAAAACAGACACAAAACTTAACGAGTGCCTACCTGACAGTTTCACGAATACATAAAAGAATTGTTTTGTCAGAAAAACAAAAGGCTGGAATTACAAGGGAGAGTTTTAAAGTTCAGAGGAATACTATCCGATCAATATATACTGGCTTGAGTGTCGATGTCTCCCACACTCCAAAAAGTTTTGAATTGTTGCTTGAAGACAAGGGAAGATCAATCGGTATTCATTATTTTACGTCGCTTCTTCTTGTGTTTGTTCTGCGGGATGTTCATTGTCCTAACATAAAAATCTTTCACGAAAGTGTTCATTATCTGATCTGTTCGTTAACTGATCACCCATTGTAGTGCAAAGCAATTCTGTGATGGTACTGAGATTGTCAGAGATGAGCAGTGACCTGACAGTTGTCAACATCCAACTGGAGAGGCTCATATTATAAGAGTAGAGGGTATGATTCATATCAACAGACATGTAGCTGTGGAAAATGTCACAAAATTGGATATTGACTATGTCCAAAGTATAATACATGATCTCTGACGTGTTGGATTACTGCAGTGTCAACATACATACTAAAGCTTATTCTGACAATCTTGTGTTGTTGGTGCCAAAGTACTAATCACAAAGCAGCCAGAAAGAGCATCAGCCTGCAACATCTCTTGCAGTGCAAGTACGGAAGCAACCAGTTTCTCTTCTGAACTGTGATGAAGGGATGAGAGTTGGGCCCATTTCACCTTGAAATAAAAATTTGCTTTCATGGAGTGGACGTACTAAGGTTTCTTTGTGAAAAAGAAGTTCACAGTGACCTGGTCAGTAGACAAGATTCTTCTCTGTGTTTTGGGATGCTAAAGGAGTGTTGTTGCTGGACTTCCTGGAAAAGGTGAATACCATCAAGTACTATGACATACTGACAACATTGAAAGCTGCCATTTAACAAGAGAGGTCAGGCCTTCTCAGTTTAGGGATTGATATTATCCTTGTGACAATGCAAGACACATCCAATGTTGCCAAATTCAGTAGGGAATGACTCAAATCCTCCTTGTTACAGTCTGGATCTTATATCAGTGGCAAAATACTGTTTGACTTCTACTTCCATCTTTGAAAAAAGCATTAGGAGAGCAGCATTTCACCAGTAATGAAGAAGTGGACAAAGCCACTCAAAACTTTGTTCACATGCAGAGCAGGATCTTTTATGAGAGGGATTTTTTTTAACCTGGTGAAACAATATGACAAATGCATTAATGAGAATGGAAACTTTATAAAAAAGTAAAGTGAGAATGTCTATTTCTATCTGTAATATACTTGATTTCAGGAATAAAACTTCCTATTCATAGCAGATGCAACAAAATATTCTCTTAAATACAAATAATATTTGTACTAAAAAAGAAATAGCATTTTTCAACCTAAATGAATAATTCATGAAGATATATTCTATGTAGCCTTGTACCTGTGCAAACTAAATATAATCAGCTCACAAAATACTGTGTAAATATAATCAAGAAAACAGTTGTAGATGTGAAGGAATTCTCAGGAAATATGTTCAATTAAGTTTATTTTGATGAAGAGGAATTAATGTAATGCTCAAAGGAAACAATGTTGGAAAAAATGAATTTCATTACTTTCATATAAAACTAAATATGAACTATATAAAAACTATGTATTGGAAGATAATATATTAACAGTAATATTTACAGGAATGTCCACAATATTTGAATGATCAAACGTATCACATAGTTTTCATATTGATAAAACAGTTTTTTACTACAACTACTACAACAGCTTTTTTCAAGAACATATTAAGTAATTTCTCTATCAAAAATGAAATTGACTATTACCTAAACTGACTATTGGCCTTAAATTGACTTATTGTAAATAGTAATTCGAACACAAATCATTTAATGTATTCATTCAGACACTTGGCAAATCTCATAATTAAATTTTATTTAGTTGATATATGTTCATCGTATTTGTACATGTTTCGGGTATTTTGTGTCCCTCTTCAGCCAACTAAAATAGAAATTCACAAGTTACAACAATATAAAACATATATATAAAGGTCATATTTTGTGTTCGAATTACTAAACAATTACGGGCATGGTTTCAAAAATACCAGAATTATTGTAAATAATTAAAGACAAAAACCTATTCTAGCAATGATTTTTTTTAATATAAACATATTTAAGATTACTTAATAAAGATTTTAGTTTTTAACATATTTCACTTCATTGCTCAATATTAGACACTCATTAATTATATTAACTGTAGCTTGTTTATTAATGTCATTAGATGAAGTCCCATATTTTACCTTCAAAACAATTTGTGAATGTATTATGGATACATTTACATTTTTATGAATTCATTTATGCAAATTATGACAGTATTTAACTAAATTATTTCTAAAATCCATTTTGATATAAGCAAAATAAATATAGATTTGATTTCATTACTAATATTTTTGTCAGGCTTTTTGATTCAGTGTTTGTTTATTTCCACCTGTTGCAGATTCTAACATGAATTAATAATAGATATAACAAATGCAAGTTTCCATTCATCTTTCACAGCTTCTATCTTTAAACAGGATATCTTGTGTGGGAAGTTTGATGGTAGTGTTGTAATATTTCTTCAATTTTCTGGTTTTACAAGTTACCATCTTATGGTGATTGTCTCTTACAAGTTTATTGTAGTTTAATTATATAGATGTAGTATGCTATTTTGTAATTATTTGCAGTTAGCAAAATAAATGACATTGCATCTAACTTTCAAATATAATTACAGAATTTTTGTCATTTCATTTTTTTCCCTCCAGATCTTTGTTGGTAGGTTCAGCAGGATATAATGGCATTCCTCCATTACAACTGTATGATATAGAAATGTATGTTATGATTATTATTAATAAATGAATTTTTTACATGCTACATTTAAAAATTTGTTTAAAAAATTTTTTTATTAGAATTATATAAAGTTTTTCTGTATAATTCATTGATAGCGGTAGTCGAATTTGTACTTTTGGAAATGGCCATAGAAATGGAGCTGGAGTACTTCATGTTTATCCAGAATCATCATATGAATTACTATCTTGTGGTTATGATACATGTGTGAGGATGTGGGATACTAGATGTGGAACAGAATGGTTGGTTCATATTTAACTATTAATTAAGATAAATCAATTTTTATATAAAAATTTTTTGGATATTTCATTTAGTGTTATTCAATGGGAAGATCCACATGATTCTGCAGTTTATTGTGTTGCTTCTGATCATCATATGACAGTACTTAGTGGAACTTCAAGACATGGACTAGTTAGATTATGGGATAAAAGAATGAATAAATCTTTACAGGTATACTTTTAACCAATTTGATGATAACATAAACAACTAACACAATAATTAAGTTAAATGCCAAACAAACAGCCAAATTCTCTATCATGCTGCTTAAGGCTAATTAATTATTAAGTAATTTGTTTAGAGGTAAGCAGTAAGCTGCCATTCTCTAGCCAAATTATTTAGTAATTAATTAGCCTTAAATATCTTGATAGAGAATCCAGCTGTTTATTTTTATTTATTTTATTATCAAAATACTTTTAAGCAGTAAAAAATTTTAAATTTAATTTAGTTTATAAAATTATTAATTTTTACTAAAAATTAATATTAACTTAGTATATTTTTATATAAAATATAGATATTTTAATATGTAATTTTTTTTAGATGTATTATGTTGGTCGTGGAAACAGTCCAGTGTATTCTGTAACATTTGATCCCAGTCACGCATATGTTGCCCTTGATCGATCTCTAAATGTTCTTTCTTTTTCTGGTCAAACACACACTAACCAAACTTTTAGATATGCATATACAAATGGAATTACCACTTGACAACTAGTCAATATGCAGCCATAAAATAAATTTTGTTGATGTTTTAAAATTTATGGATTTAATAAAAAGATTTTAAATACAGTTTTGTGAGAATTATTAATGATTCTAAAAGATGAAGTAAATTATATGAGTGTTTTTATTTACATATTCCATCAATATTTTAAATAATCTTTTGAAATTAAAATATATGCTTAAATATATTTTATAAATATTTAATATTTTATGAAGCCTTGAATCATTGTGATTTAAAAAACAAACTCATGTATTTTATGAATTTAATAAATTTTTGCAATATCATTAAAGTTGTAAATTAATGTGAGTTTTATGAATATAAAGAGTGAACTCAAGGTGTTCACTGTATGAAATCAAGGTGTTCACTGTATGAAATCAAGGTGTATGTATGAAATATTAGAAGGTATTACTAATGTATGATATTCAGTAAAGTTGTACATTAAAAGTTATTTTAATAAACCTACGTAACAATTTATTATAGGTTTACTATTAATAAATTACACAAAATCTTTTATATTAAATTTGTATACAATTAACAATTTTTCTGACTTTTAAATGTGTTTAAGTGAATTGTTTTGTTTCCAATTAGTTACTCCTCATCTATTTATTGCTAAAACAATAACAGTTTTATTGAAAATTGTTGTGGCATAATTAGAAATTTCAAATGTTACAATCTGTATTCAGTATCATGAAATTCAGTCAGATTGGAGCTTATGTGATAGTGTTAGCCTACTGTCATGTTTGAATATTGTCTAGATTCCAAAATTTTAGCATGTTTGGTATGGATTAGGGTATTCCTCCATTCCTCTTCCAAAGTAGCAGCCTAATGCTTTGATGAACTAAGTTTAATGTAGGATATTATCCTCCCTATTTGGCTGTATCCATTGTAGGCCTAACTAAACCAGGAGAATACTCTATATGCAAAAAAATGGCCAGACTTTCAATGATGAGAACCAGGACTTTCATTAAAGAAAGTGCCATCATATGTGGCAGGTCAGCTAAATAGCCAAGACTACCAGTATAAGTAAGATCCAATACTAGTGTTGGAGTGATGAAGAACTATGAGTCTGAAATGCATTTCTAATACTAACGAGCAATTATTTATTGTGACATTGTCACAATGCCGGGCTGCAATTTTTAATTTATTTAATTTCAAATATATGCTCTCCACCTCAAATTAGTAGGGTCTTGCCTCTGAAGATCATACTTTCCTTTAACAATAGAGTAATGCTGGTCATCTATTAACTGCTTTCAGGGGAAAAGTTTTGAATTGAAATAATGATTTTATTAACGAGATAGAGTGATTAAAGTTGAGATGGATAAGGTTAGGATCAGATTACAAAGAGGGTGATTAAATTCAGTAGATTTAATTATCGGAATTCAGATACGTGCTGTTATAGGAAAGAAAGGGAATTAGACTTCAGGATGAGTTTAAAAAATGGAAATTTCAACTATTTAGGATCATATTTACAGGCAGGTTAACAAATAGAATAGGTAAATATAGAATGGCAAGGCAAGAACTCAAGCAGTATTATTAGAAATTGACAGTGATAGCAATGACATGGCATCTAAAAGAAAGACATGTTACTGGTATTTTATATACTAGCAGGTAAGCCCGGTGTTGCCCAGGTAAAAAATAAAAACAAACGTTAAGGTTATTTCGTACTTTTAACCTTTCTATTATATTATATTATAGTACAGGTATACCTCGCCTTACGTCGGTAATTGGTTCCAGGAAAGCGACGTAAGTCGAATTTACTTGTCTCCGAATCTACTTGTCACTAGGCTAAACCATAAATTACCATTTCCGGTTCTGTGTTTTATTTATTAATGCATTTTTAATAATATATGGTTAATAAGGATCTATTTTAAGCTTACAAACAAATAAATTTTAGTTTTTAATATAGTACAGAAAAAAGTAATCTAAATTTACGAATGCATGTACTGTAAATACAGTACATACTTGTAAATGTATATATTTTAATATGATTTTATGTGCTTTAAACGCTTTTCTAGTGATATTACGACTTCAATATTTGTGGCGGACAGACGTAAAGTCGAATAAAATGACTTAAACTTGATTTTTATTTTTCCATATACTTTTTTGACAAATGACGTATAATCGGGAACGACGTAACTCGAAACGACGTAAGTCGAGGTATACCTGTATTTCATTTATATTTAAAAAGGTTATATTACATAAGTTTATCACGTCTAGTGTTCACTCTAACACATTTTAAAAATTCTCTAAATTGTGTACAGTAGAGAAATAAAGAATTTTTAAAATGTATGATTGGTCACTTGGTGTGATAAACCCTCACATAAGATAACCTTTGAGTTATATAAATGAAATACTATAATATAGCAAACATTAAAACGAAAAGGATATAAAGAGTTGGTTATTTCAGCCTACCATTTTCATGTTTATTGCAATACTCAGATGATATGAAATGGCACAGATTCAATGGTCAAATAGATAGGAATCGAAAATATATCTTAAATTTTTCAGATATCATAATATTTTCTAATGTTAACTCTAAGAAACTACCATTCACAGCCAAATATCAAACGGTAATCTGCCAACCAGTCAAATTTCAGAAAAAAACGGACCAAATATTTAAGCACCCTCAAAAACCACTTAAATCATATTTTGTGCTGGCTGGTAACCTTATGTAATTTTCCTATTCGAATGCCATCATACCGCTGGTCCAAAAGAAAGGAGGAACTGTTTCAGAAGGCAGTCGAAGTAAATTCAATCAAAAGTAGTCGTTGACCTCCCGGGGAAAAAAAGGATGCTCAACGACTACTCATTAATACCGATCTACTATTAATATTTGAAAAATAATCTGTATTGGACAGGTTGTGATGGCTCCCACACGTGGTCGAGGTTGCTAACCTTAATGTCTGAGATTTTGTATGACTTGTTAAAATAAAAAAAATCTTAATAAAATGCTATAATTGCTTTTATGTGATAATGTGTTGAAATTTTGGTAACAGATTGTATGAACTAGGGATGAAGTATGTTCTTGTTTATGAATTGCATTTGTATATGAACTTGAAGTATGTATTGCATTTATGGAAAAATTATGGGCTGCAATTTTAATAAATTGTCCAATGACCACGGGCAGAAAGAATCTTTGTACGCGCTTCCAACTCATGAGTGACTTCTGTCCAGAGTGGATGCATGTTGTTTACAAGATGGTGGCAAGAAGACTTAGTGGAATGCAACTATGGAAAATATGACAAGCATTAAAACGGTAAATTTGACAGTTAATTGTTATCACTAACTAGATACACAACAAATATAAAGAATCTTTATAGAATAATAAGTTAAAAAAAGTATTTTTTTTTAAACAAAATCAGAAATTATTAAATTACATAAAAGATTAAAGTACATACAACATATATATACAATTTATTTGTCATTCTGTTTACATTCATCTTCAAAATCAGCCATTTTCTTCGTTGGAAGCGCGAGCAGTGGAAGCAGCGATCAAACTGGTAGCTGCCTCCTGCACGCGCGTGTAGAAGTGTCATCTGGTGGTCGCTATACGCTAAATGCGGTTACTCCGGATGCACACATTTGCTCGATCCTGTTTGTCCGCTCCACTTGGAAGCATGTTCACGCCTGCGGTCGCTGGATGCTGTCACGTAGGATGTAGCCTTAATCTCGAGAATGGAGTTAGATAGATGAAAGTCGAGACCAGACATGCAAATCGTAAAAAAACCAGATTACCTATATATGAACTTCTCATTTGTATCGTAACTCACGTTATTTCAATACAAAAAATTTCCCCCGAATGGAGTTAGATACATAACCAGCACGACTCTATCGCTAACAGAAAAAGTATGATATATAGGGGCAAAACATTACTATACTCCACGCAGGCAAATGCTATGTCCTACCTGTCATAGTAATTCAGTAAATATAATATATATATTTTTAAATCAATTCCTTTTTTTTTAAATAAGAATTATGTTTCATAGGAATTGGTCGAACAGCCTAGGAATGTATAGCAAACAAACAAACTTCCTCATTTATATATAATATATTCAAATACTTCTAACTTACAAGTTAGATGATGTTGTCATATCAGTACATCCCACCCCAAAAATTGATTGCATTAATGGCCTACTGACACCTGTCCTTTGTATATAAACAACATGTGTCAGTAGGCCATTAATAAATCTTCATTCATATTCTACTTTTGATAGTGCAGAATAACATAAAAAATTACCACAATATAATGTGAATTATATTGTCATGACACTCAATGTGACAATTATATGACACTCAATGTGAATGTCATAAGAAATGTAATTTCTTACATCAAAAATACAAAACTATTTCATCCCAAATACTATTTTTCACTGTACTGAATCACGTAAAATTGTATAGCCTACTTTATGTAATGTTATTGATTGAAAATTATTAATTATTTGAGACCAACAAGTTAACTTTCCTGGCAACATTTGGTGCCACCACCAGGAAAGTTAAGTAACTCGTTGGCATCTGTTATGATGTTTTATTAAAAACTTTTTTTCATAGTTTTAATTATTATAAAATGAAAAAAACCTTTGCATCAGATGAATGCGTGGCCAAGGTGATAAAGATGTCAGACCGATAGTTTCGATTCCTTGAAAATTTTTACGGGTTATTCAATCCATGCTATTCTTCATCTTTCATTGAGAGTTGGCCAAACTCATGATAGCATTCAAAAAATCCTGCAGCGTAATTTTCCTCGCTAAACTTTAAACTTGAGAAAAATTGTCATTTAAATTGACCTTTCTGTATCTCTCCACTCCCTTGACCTTTAACAACTCAATAGCCCTAATACACAAATCTCCTTGCAAAATTTCAGAAATTTTCGACAAAAAGCACATGTTTAAGCCTCAAAGAGGACGAACAAAATTATGCTCCCTGCTCACAGAAAAAAATATCCGAATGTTTTTTTTGCATTTCTCTATGTTTCAAGAATCAGAATACAAGAATATAAAAATCTTGGGGGATCATGCTTTGACTGATTGCAATATATAAAAATATTCTAAAAAGAATCAATGGAGTCAGATAATCTATTTTTTTATATTACCGTACTGTACTANTCAATAATATATCTTTTGATTGCTGGCACTAACTGTTTGATCTTTTAATATTTGTTTCTACTGAACTATTATTAAAGTAGAAGAAGTGGTTAAGAAATTTTTTTTGCAAAAAAATATTAGATCTATTGAAATGTAGCATCAGCTTATGGAGATGATATTATGAATGAGGGAAATGTGTATAAGTGGGTCAATTAGTCAAGGAAAAACAAATCTCTATGAAGAACCATGTTCTGGTCTCCATTATTATCACCAACAAGTTGACAACTGTGTTGATGCACATGTTTGTAAAAACAGGTGTTTCATTATGAATGAGCTTAATGGGTATTTTCTATTGTTTCTTGATCTGTCCTTTATGAAATTGTCACTATTTACCTTCACTATCAAAAGATTTGTGCAAGATTAGTTCCATGAATGATTACACTGGGATACAAGCAGAAACAAATTGTTGCTTTGCATCTCGGCATTTTTTGAATGCAACCACAGATGAAGAGATGAATATTTGGATCAGTTATTGACAGATGAGACATGGGTCTCTGAATATAGAGAATATAGCTGAAAGAATATAGCTGTCTTCACCTGAAAGAATATAGCTGTCTTCAATGCATCATGCACACTCTCTGTCAAAACTGAAAAAATTGTGAAACAAATGTTTGAAGCCTGGTCTGCTAGTTTGATATTATGGACTGATTACAGAAATGCTAACATGCAGCTTTAAATCACTTTTCACAAACAAAATTAAATTTGAAAAGTGAAATTAAACTTGTGAAATTAAATTACAGTAGCACCTTAGAGCTGCTACTGTAATTTAATTTCACAAATTTTACTGTAAAGTTAGGTTTTAATTTTACAAGTTTTAAAATTTTACTATAATTTAAGCTGCATGGACACTGTTATGTTTTAAAGTTGCTCTTCCCTTCTATTTTGACATTTTAACCAATTAGTGCTTTTGTAATGACATTAGAGAAAGCAGCAGAAAATATGAATGTACATGCATTAATGTTGATGAGACACTTTTTGGACAAGAAAACTGTTTTATTAGACTTAATTAAAGCTTGCTAGCAACAGAGTAAAAGGCATATGACATAAATTCAATAAATAGGAAAAAACACTCGTGGCAGAAAATTCATAAAGAATTTTTGTCATTTATAAGAAAATCTCAAAGTATAGGACAGTTGAAAGATTGACACTAATTGATACTTTGTAAAATGTTTCTGCATAAAATGTAATATGTGTTTGTTATATATAAACTTCTTACTAATAGAGTCTAACTTGAGGTTTTATTTGCAGTTTTTGATTTGAAGATTAGACTGCCTCTAATCAAAAACTTGTTTCTGTAATTATATGGTTAAATATTGTATATTTATTTAAATGGAGTTGTATTTTCCTTAACTGAATTATCATCATCATAATTTTTTAATTAGTAATCTAGTAATTAGATCTATGTATAAATTCTGCACATACCTAACAAACCAGCAAGAAAATTATACACAAAGTGCAAACATTTTCTCCCTTGTTAAATGGGTATTGTTAGGCAAACAAACTGCTGAGAAGACACTGGGGATTGCGGAACCTGGGGTGTATGACGTAAGAAGAGAGGAGGGAGGTTTACATTTCTTATAACAGTTTCATATAACATTTCTTATAACATTTCCAGGCAGTGGGTAAGGAATCAACATTGTGATAGTTTATGGCTGCATTATGGCAGGTGGTCTTGTAAATTTTCACTTGTTCCAAATGTTTAAGGACATATGGTTTAGATTCATTATGTCTCGGGAAGTCTACCTGGATGCCAGGGTTTTAATACCTTTTGTCTAATATTAACCAATTGTAAAGTAGCAGTTATTAACCTATGTATAAACTGATTTAATCCAAGATAATTAGTCAAAAAAATTTTATATCTATTCATCTGCTTCTGGAGATGAATATATTTTACATAGTATTTGAATTCATTTCTTTAAATATATTTTATTCAATTTAATTTTATGTGCACGTTAATGTTTTCTTTTTAAAGAAGTGTATTATAAAATTTAACTCTGAAGTAATACTCTGTTACCATTTTAAACAAAATGAGAATAAGAGTGATAATTTTTTTTATTTGTTGAAAGATGATAAAGTGAAACTTGCTGTGTATGTAATCAAATGGTAAAACATTAAAGTAAATGTGCAGTATACATGAATAATTTCAGAAAGTATCTGCCAATTGTTTGCTCAATATTGCTATTTTCCCTATTACATTATCTGAATGATACTATGCTTTTTCTCTTACCCTATTTATTTCTGTATTGTCTCAAGCCACTATGAAATAACATTTACATTTTTAATGGCTCTATCAAGCAACAACAGATGAATAATAATTCATATTTTACTATTTTTTTGATAGTATTTTACATAAAAGTATTTTACAATAGTGTAGCTATCTTTTTCCATTTTGGTGTAGATATACAGTCGGTTGTGCCCTAAATTTATTTGATGGGATGAAAATGTTGATAACATAGCATGTTTTCTCACTGAATATCTATGCNGTAACTTAGATTCTTCTGTAAAATTTAATTTTTTTTAAATCATATTTAAAAAATTAAATTGTATTTATATCAATAAAAATACATAGATTACTATTAAGTTTTCTCATTGGTATGAACTCTTATCGTGTATACTCAGAAAATTCTGCTTTTCTCTGGTTCTGATCCAATACTGAGTAGTTTAATGAGTATGATAAATTTATTTTTACAAACCAGGGAAATTAATGTATTTTACTTTAGCATTTTTAAATAATGCAAGTGTTCCATTACATTTCAGTTGCAAACTAATAATGGAGAATAAAGTTGAAATTACTGTATATAAGAGTAACAATGGAAATTTTACATACCCATGTTTGGAAGATTACATTTCAGTATCTGTTGTCAGGTTTGCACTTTCCTTAGGATATAATCAATTTAATAAATTAAATGGCAATAAAAACTAATTTTATCAAAACACCATGCTATTTAAGTTAGTTGAGTTTTTTAATTTATAGTAATCTCCATCTATATAAAATTAACACTTAAATGACAAAGTGCTTATTTTTCCTTTCATGGACTAGAAAAAATCTTCATTTAGTCTTTTATAAACAACTTATTGTAAACATACACTACAATAATTTATTGTATAAAAATTAGAAATTTTAAAAGAAGAAAGATATTATATTTACAGAAATATAATTAACAATGAAATAAATATTCATAATAATGTAAAAAAATTGTTATACCATAAATAAATTTCAAAACCATTCTATTTATTCAATGTCATTTCACTGTTAATGCCTAGTAAAGATACTTCAAAACATCTTTTCAAAATTTTAAAATAGATTCTCTCTCTAAGATTCTCTAATAAAAAGAGAACTTTGGAGAGAATTAAAAAACTTATTTAAAATTTGAATTTATTAGTTTCACTAATGACATTAATAATCTTTTGACTCTGATCATTGAAAAAATAGTCAACAAACATTACATAATTTTAATGACAACAACTTGACAGCAATTTCCTAAAACAGACTACACATATAAAGTTTACTTGATAAGGTTAACTTTATCTAAGAGATTTTAAGTTCAGATTTTTTATTAATAAATAAGTGTTTAGGGCTTAAAACTGTGATATTTTTTCATTTTCAATCATTCTTTTAAGTTCAGCTTCTAAATTAGCTCTTTTTTCAACATGTGCTTCTCTGACATTTCGTGGAATTTTTCTTCGATAATTTGTATCTGACATTACTTTATTTAATTTTTCTAATTCTTTTTGGATCTTTTCTCTTTTCTTTCTTCTTGATAATATTTGTTCTTCTTCTGATGAACTTTGAAGTTCCATCAAAATAGTCATTTGGTTATTATACAGTCTGGAAACCCAATTGCGATCTTTCATTTGTAAACAGTCTTCATCTTTACCAAATTGGAAATTTAATGATTGTAAAGCACATAATGTACTTAAAAGAGTTTTAAAAGGTTCCAGATTTTGAAATAAATTATTATTTTTCACATTAATTACAATAACAGGTTTATTATGAGACATTCCATAAAAAGATTTCATTGATCGTATAGCATGGGTTAATTCTAAAACAGTTTTAAATGTATCATCCAGTTCTTCATTTCTCCATACACCCCATTCCTTCATATTAGGATATGGTGCTATGCAGACACTTTCTTCCCAATCCCATTCCAATATTGTAGCTAAACGCTGATATAATTCTTCTGAAAGGAATGGCATGAAGGGACTAATCAAACGAATAAAAGTTTCCACACAGTTAAACATAATGTCACATATTTTGGAAACTTCATTTTGTTGATCTGAATAAATTAATGGCTTAACACTCTCAATATAGATATCACAAAATTCTTGGATCCAGAATTTCTGAATTGCACTTGCTCCATGGTTTAAATTATACTTTTCAAAACAGTCATTACAAATTTCAACTACATTAGCTAAGCGACTTAAAATCCATTTATCAACATCATTTAATGTATGCTTCTCTGATAACTGTTCTGGCAAAAAATCATGATTATATTTTTCTAATGTCTTGCAAAAAAATCTTGTGCCCTGCCAAATTTTATTACAAAAATTTCGACAACTTCGAATATGTTTAATGTCTATATTAATTCTTTCTGATTTAAAATTATGTAGTAACAATGCAAAGCGAAGACCATCAGTACCACATTCGGGAATCCCATTTGGAAAATTTTCTTCTTGGCCCTGAAGTGAAAGATTTAGCTCCTCATCAGTTAAATAACCTAATCTATGGGATTCCTTTACAACTTCTTTTAATTTTTTTAGTGTTGCTCCGTGTATAATGTCCATAGGATCAATAACGTTTCCTAAAGATTTACTCATTTTCCTGCCTAAGCTATCACATAAAATACCATGAAAAATAATATTTTCAAATGGAAGCTTTCCAGTAAAATGTTCTCCTAACATAACCATTCTTGCAACCCAATAAAAAATAATATCATGTCCTGTCTCCATTAAACTAAGTGGATAAAAATCTGACTGTAACTTATCTGGCCACCCATGAACAGAAAGAGGAATTAATGCTGAAGAAAACCATGTATCTAATACATCTTCATCCTGTTTAACTGTGAGGTTTGACTTCTCAGTATCCAATTTTTTGGATCCTTCCATAGCTGCAATTTCTTCATTTTGTGCAGCTATCCATACTTTCTTACCTTCAGAGAGATTCTGAACAAGATATGCTGGTATTTGATGTCCCCACCATATTTGTCTAGATATACACCAATCTTGAATATTTTTAAGCCATTCTTGCCATATAATTTTATATCTTTCTGGTATAAATTTAATATTTCCATTTTCAGCAGCTTGGCTTGCTTTTTTGGACATTTCTGAACAATTCAAATACCATTGATCTTTTAACCGAGGTTCAATTATATCACCTGATCTACTGCATATAGGAATAGTAGTAGCATGATCTGTATTTCCATGATAGAGTTCCTTTTCTTTTAATGCTTCACGAATTAACTTCCTAGCTACAAATCTAGGTAATCCTCTAAACTGCCCATAGTTTTCTTTAATTTTTCCACTATCATCAAAGATTTCATGAAACGGAAGATTATATTTTTCAGCTATTTCAAAATCAAATTCACTATGTGCAGGTGTCACTTTTAATGCTCCTGTTCCAAATGAAATATTAACAGAATCATCAGATATAATTGGAATATTTTCTCCAGTGAATGGATGAGTTGCTAATTTTCCAATAAAATTATGATATCGACTATCTTGTGAATGAACCGCAATAGCTGTATCACCTAACATAGTTTCTAATCTTGTAGTTGATACTATAATATGTTCATTGCTATTCATAATTGGATATGCAAATCTATCAATTATACCAAATTCCACTGGCTCATTCATTCCTGGTATAGACAACATTGTTCTACCATTCAGAGTCAGATGTTCTACTTCAAAATCTGCAATTGCAGATTGTAAGATACAAGACCAGTGAACAAATCTTTCTTTTCTGTAAATAAGACCTTGGTTAAATAATTTAATAAAAGCTTCTCTCACAGCTTTTGACATATTTGAATCCATCGTAAAGACAGATCTATCAAAATCTAACATGGATCCAAGCTTGTAAAACTGTTCATGAATCTTATTGATCTTCTCATCTTTCCAATTATGTATTTCTTTTAAAAATTCTTCTTTTCCAACTTCATGTCTAGATTGTTTTCTTTCATTAAAAAGCTTTTTTTCTACCACAACTTGTGTGGCGATACCTGCATGATCACAACCTGGTATCCAAAGTACTTTATTACCAAGCATGCGATTCCATCTTATAATAGTATCCTGTATTGCAATAGTAAGTGCATGACCAAGATGAAGTGGTCCAGTAATATTAGGAGGTGGTATTACCATAGAGAATACTTTTGATTCATTTTTACTCAGCAGAGGATCATCGGGTTTAAAGTATTTTTGTTTTTGCCACCATTCGTACCACATTGATTCAACCAGTTTTGGATCATATGCTGAAGGTAATCTACCAGAAACATCTTTTACACTTAATTTTTTTAACTTTTTAGTATTTTGTAAATGAATCGTACTGGTACAAAGTCTGTTAATTCGAAACGCAGTAAAATATATTAAACAAGAAGATTTTTTGGACACTTTAAGCATTTTTAAAAATTCAAAAGGATCTTTATATTAAATACTTTATTATTAAAAGATGTTTAACATAAATAAAGCTCGACATTACCTCCATGACAACACATGTTTCTCTTGAACTAATNGCTGCATGGACACTGTTATGTTTTAAAGTTGCTCTTCCCTTCTATTTTGACATTTTAACCAATTAGTGCTTTTGTAATGACATTAGAGAAAGCAGCAGAAAATATGAATGTACATGCATTAATGTTGATGAGACACTTTTTGGACAAGAAAACTGTTTTATTAGACTTAATTAAAGCTTGCTAGCAACAGAGTAAAAGGCATATGACATAAATTCAATAAATAGGAAAAAACACTCGTGGCAGAAAATTCATAAAGAATTTTTGTCATTTATAAGAAAATCTCAAAGTATAGGACAGTTGAAAGATTGACACTAATTGATACTTTGTAAAATGTTTCTGCATAAAATGTAATATGTGTTTGTTATATATAAACTTCTTACTAATAGAGTCTAACTTGAGGTTTTATTTGCAGTTTTTGATTTGAAGATTAGACTGCCTCTAATCAAAAACTTGTTTCTGTAATTATATGGTTAAATATTGTATATTTATTTAAATGGAGTTGTATTTTCCTTAACTGAATTATCATCATCATAATTTTTTAATTAGTAATCTAGTAATTAGATCTATGTATAAATTCTGCACATACCTAACAAACCAGCAAGAAAATTATACACAAAGTGCAAACATTTTCTCCCTTGTTAAATGGGTATTGTTAGGCAAACAAACTGCTGAGAAGACACTGGGGATTGCGGAACCTGGGGTGTATGACGTAAGAAGAGAGGAGGGAGGTTTACATTTCTTATAACAGTTTCATATAACATTTCTTATAACATTTCCAGGCAGTGGGTAAGGAATCAACATTGTGATAGTTTATGGCTGCATTATGGCAGGTGGTCTTGTAAATTTTCACTTGTTCCAAATGTTTAAGGACATATGGTTTAGATTCATTATGTCTCGGGAAGTCTACCTGGATGCCAGGGTTTTAATACCTTTTGTCTAATATTAACCAATTGTAAAGTAGCAGTTATTAACCTATGTATAAACTGATTTAATCCAAGATAATTAGTCAAAAAAATTTTATATCTATTCATCTGCTTCTGGAGATGAATATATTTTACATAGTATTTGAATTCATTTCTTTAAATATATTTTATTCAATTTAATTTTATGTGCACGTTAATGTTTTCTTTTTAAAGAAGTGTATTATAAAATTTAACTCTGAAGTAATACTCTGTTACCATTTTAAACAAAATGAGAATAAGAGTGATAATTTTTTTTATTTGTTGAAAGATGATAAAGTGAAACTTGCTGTGTATGTAATCAAATGGTAAAACATTAAAGTAAATGTGCAGTATACATGAATAATTTCAGAAAGTATCTGCCAATTGTTTGCTCAATATTGCTATTTTCCCTATTACATTATCTGAATGATACTGTGCTTTTTCTCTTACCCTATTTATTTCTGTATTGTCTCAAGCCACTATGAAATAACATTTACATTTTTAATGGCTCTATCAAGCAACAACAGATGAATAATAATTCATATTTTACTATTTTTTTGATAGTATTTTACATAAAAGTATTTTACAATAGTGTAGCTATCTTTTTCCATTTTGGTGTAGATATACAGTCGGTTGTGCCCTAAATTTATTTGATGGGATGAAAATGTTGATAACATAGCATGTTTTCTCACTGAATATCTATGCTATATTTTATCTTAGAATTTTTAAAATTTATTAAATATCTTAATATAATTAAGTAAATAATTTATAACATAAATATATTTTTAAAATATTTGTATTTTTATAATTTACTATTAGGAGCAATTTGATTGGTCCACATGACAATGCAGAAAGAATTATTGATAAAACTTCTATTGAATCATATGTCTCAGGATCAGCTTTGTATCAAGTAAATAATTAGAGAAAATTTTTAAAGTATTATTTATTTTTGCATTCTAAATATTTTAATGTAATTAAATGACTAATGTAGAAATTCTAAAGTAAGAAAAATAGTATAGAATTTATTTTAGTAATTATTTTCAGTTGTGTATTAAGTAAATATTTACCTTTTCAAATAGGTGGAAGATATTTTAAGTAATGAAAGCAGAGATACAGTTTTTGATATTTTCAATCAGTCATTATCTGATACAATATGTTGCCACAATTTCGACCAATTTTCTAATCAATCACTTACTAATGAAGTGAATTTTACAGAAAATTCTCAGGTAAGATAAAAATTTTTTTTTTTGTGTTGCAAATATTCAAAAGTGATGATTTATAACAAGGCTTCTTAAACTTTTTTTATTCACGACCCCGTTTATGATTGTGATTTTTTTTGTGACCCAAAAAATATAAAATAAAGATATATATACAGATTTGCAAAAACAATAATAGTGTACTACCACAGTTCATTCTTGTGTTACAATGGAACAGAGACAACGGAAAAATGACAACACTACACTAGTTCACACTACAATCATTGTTGCTGAATCATTGTCTTGCTGCACCAGAAGTGACACAAAACACAACTCATGAAACCTATGATACAAAACCTGCCATTTTCAAACTCTCATGAATTATTTTCACTATTTTGCATTAAAATCTTGCGACCCCAAGATTTCGCTAAGCAACCCCAAATGGGATCACGACCCATAGTTTAAGAAGCCCTGATCTATAATAATTATGAAAAATTAAGATTGTTTTCTTTATTTTAAAAGAATTGTTTTCTTTATTTTATTTAAAAGAAATTATTTATTTCTTTATTTTCTTTATTTTTGTATTAAAATTTATGAAGGATAAGGTGTAGATATTATAACAAATTAATGTGTAGAATATTTATAAATGAATTTGTGTTAAACAAAAATATTATTTTTAAGTATTTAATGTTTGAACTGAAACTTCAAATTTAATTCAGTCAGTAATTATTTTAGGATATTATGTAAATAATAGTAATTGAACCCTTTTTTTGCAAAAACAATATATGTCAAAATCCATACTGTTGAAAAAATTGGAAAAAAATAATTTCTATTAATTTCCATTGCACATGGTCATCTCTTGTTCCCATTTGCCAAAACAGTGAGCTATTCTGAGGCTTTTGGTTTATTTCCAAAATATTGCCTTTGACAGGACCCAAGAAAAATTAAATTCTTGGTAACTGACTTAAGCTGTTCTTTTCAGAAACTTGACTCTCATAATTCTTTTTGCATGAAAAAGTTTGCATGTATCATTTCTGAGTCCTTGCTGTCCCAGCTGTTGTCTTCCTTTTCAATGTCCACACATTGTTTATCACCTGCAAAACTTGACAAACTTTTGTAGAACTACTTATTCTCTGCCTACTACAGGAAAGCTGACTATTTCAGCAGTCCACAAGTTTCTTGTCCGGTATAGGAATTGGATCATTGTAGGCTTGTGGCAATGTCAACTTATTGATCCACTTCTTTCAGCTTCTAATAAGAATATTTTTGTTTGGTCCAGAATGTTTGTCACGTATTTGAACAGCCTCTTCATCTTCAGTGACTTTTATAATCCTTGCTGATTTAAGATTCAACTTTTACTTGATAAATGGGTGATATTTGAATACCTTCAATCAGGAACCATGACAAATTTTTCTATTTCTTTCCTTTTGTGGTTTGTGTGGCTAAAACCATGAACTTTTGCTTCTCAAATAATTTCCTCTTCTTTCTTGGTTACAAACACTCATCAATATTGGACATTTTCAAATGATGTTGAGGCTACTGTGATTCAGAATACCTTTCAATGTAGTTGTTCATCTTGTAAGTCAACCTTTATCACAAAAACAGTAACTGTCAGAGACATCTGCTGTTTTTGTGAATAAATCTTGATGTTATCTGTTGATGTGTGGTTTTTGTAAAATCTCAAAATCTTTCATGTGGAATATTTCTGTTGGCATTAACTGTTGTTGCATAATATTTCATGTGCAAATCATCCATCATTAGAATTGCCAGATGCAATAAAAACCCATTTTCAACTAACTTTGACATATGATTTTCAAAAAAGGCCTCAATTACCTAAATTAATTGCTACAAAGTTCACTCTAACTTCAGCACCGGAGCAAAATCCTCACTTTCCTGAACCTGTTACTGGTGCATAACACGTATAAGAAATATAAGTGGGTGACAAACGTTTTCGAACTATCTTGCAGTTCTTCCTCAGGTCAACTAGCTTAAGAATGCTTCCGAACGGAGCGTGTGGAATTCGACGGAATTGAGTGTCATTTTGACGAAGTCAGTTTTGCTTGACGTGGTCATGAGCTGGTCGAGGTAGCCATGGGTCGACATCCAGAAGGAACTGCCAGGCCAGCGACAGATTTAGCTCCTCCTTCCAGTTGACGCACGTGGCTACTTGGCCTGTTTTGTAAATGGCTATGGATTCTAGCCATTTAAGGTGGTACTGATGGGGTGTGCTGATGATGACTGTAGCTCTGTCAAAGTGCGCCTTGACATCTGGATCGGATGCATACGTAGCAAGTGCAGTGGTGAACCACCCATGCTGGATATCTGCTCGGTGTTCCCTTACATGGGTACTTAGGGAACACTTGGTAGAACTGATGTATAATAAGTCCTTGCCCCACCTGTTGTCTTTCAGTGGAATGGAATAAACACAGGGAAGCCTGGTGTGATCTGGAGGGTCTTTTTTATTATGTAGGATATCGAAAATCATGGGACATCTCCTGTACGCTATCTGTTCCCGATGCTTGCTGGCTGTCTGTGTATGTACTGCTCTAAGATACGGGTTAAACGTGATGGGAACACGTGGGGAACTGTGAGGTTTCTGGTTGGCATTACCACTCGTGGTGGAGGTGTGTTCCAAGCGTTGGTGTTGCTTGAGTACATGGTTCAGAGGATAGCAACAGAACATGAGTACCCGACCCTGGCATGCCATTTACTCGAGCAAACTTGCTTATTCAGCTGTATTAAAGGCACTTTACCTTACACTGTGCCCAATGTTTACAAAAAGTAATGAAAATAATTTCGAAATTTTTCAGTTTGATTATTTTCTTTTGAATTTGACAGTTCACTTATCTTGTATTTTATTTAGAATATTTCTAAGGTTAATTAATTTTTTATATATATAATTAAAGTGATTGAAAGTAATTTTCTTGATTAAAAACAGCATCACATTTAAAAGTGTTAATTTATTTTAGTATTAGATTATATTAAATAGATTTATTTAAATATTAAAATTTGCTGTTAATATTTATATATTAAACATAATATTTTATCATTTCTCTTGCAGCCATATCATATTAACAGTGATAAATATAATGACTTCAAATCAGAAATGAGGAAATTTCAGTTGAATAAAGTGTGGCCTGATCAGCTAGATATTTTAGCAGGCCCACTTTTGGAGGATGATGATGATTGTTATAGTGAAAATAATTCATCAACTTGTGGATCAGAAACAAATAAGGTAACAGATACCAAAACAAATGGTGAAACAGCTTTAATTTTGAATAGTGCTATGACAGCTGGGATTGTACAGTTTGGGATTGACAGAAAAATGTTTCATATTGATAGTATTGATTATAAAAATGATAAAATACATATATATAACAAAAGTTCTGAGTTGGGTAGGATAATCAAACTATCAAGAGTTGAAGATGATGATGAAGAAATTGATATTGTAACTGTAGATGACGATAATAATATTAAAGACAATTCTCAATCTTGTATGATATTGAAAAGCAATAATAATGAACAAAAACTAATCAGTCAGGAAAGTAGAACTTTGCCAATAAATACATTTAACAACAAAACTTCTAATAAAGATGATTTAGAAAATAATAGGATTGATGAAAATGAACAGTCTTTATATGATTCTGAAAAAAGTAATGAAACAGGTAAAAGCCGTAAATTTTCATACGTTTTATATTTGAATTTATTGTAAATTTTAAAAAATTCTGAACTTTAGTTCTTGTAGCACCAGATTTAAATAGTCTCTTAGAACAGTTTGAAGCTACACAAGGCAAGTTAATATTTTTATTCTTATTTTATTTAACTGATGTAGATTCATTATTACTTATATCAGAAATTGTTATTATTATTATTTATCTTCAGTATTGAAAGATAAATGTTATATTAATGTGTAGAATATTTATAAATGAATTTGTGTTAAACAAAAATATTATTTTTAAGTATTTAATGTTTGAACTGAAACTTCAAATTTAATTCAGTCAGTAATTATTTTAGGATATTATGTAAATAATAGTAATTGAACCCTTTTTTTGCAAAAACAATATATGTCAAAATCCATACTGTTGAAAAAATTGGAAAAAAATAATTTCTATTAATTTCCATTGCACATGGTCATCTCTTGTTCCCATTTGCCAAAACAGTGAGCTATTCTGAGGCTTTTGGTTTATTTCCAAAATATTGCCTTTGACAGGACCCAAGAAAAATTAAATTCTTGGTAACTGACTTAAGCTGTTCTTTTCAGAAACTTGACTCTCATAATTCTTTTTGCATGAAAAAGTTTGCATGTATCATTTCTGAGTCCTTGCTGTCCCAGCTGTTGTCTTCCTTTTCAATGTCCACACATTGTTTATCACCTGCAAAACTTGACAAACTTTTGTAGAACTACTTATTCTCTGCCTACTACAGGAAAGCTGACTATTTCAGCAGTCCACAAGTTTCTTGTCCGGTATAGGAATTGGATCATTGTAGGCTTGTGGCAATGTCAACTTATTGATCCACTTCTTTCAGCTTCTAATAAGAATATTTTTGTTTGGTCCAGAATGTTTGTCACGTATTTGAACAGCCTCTTCATCTTCAGTGACTTTTATAATCCTTGCTGATTTAAGATTCAACTTTTACTTGATAAATGGGTGATATTTGAATACCTTCAATCAGGAACCATGACAAATTTTTCTATTTCTTTCCTTTTGTGGTTTGTGTGGCTAAAACCATGAACTTTTGCTTCTCAAATAATTTCCTCTTCTTTCTTGGTTACAAACACTCATCAATATTGGACATTTTCAAATGATGTTGAGGCTACTGTGATTCAGAATACCTTTCAATGTAGTTGTTCATCTTGTAAGTCAACCTTTATCACAAAAACAGTAACTGTCAGAGACATCTGCTGTTTTTGTGAATAAATCTTGATGTTATCTGTTGATGTGTGGTTTTTGTAAAATCTCAAAATCTTTCATGTGGAATATTTCTGTTGGCATTAACTGTTGTTGCATAATATTTCATGTGCAAATCATCCATCATTAGAATTGCCAGATGCAATAAAAACCCATTTTCAACTAACTTTGACATATGATTTTCAAAAAAGGCCTCAATTACCTAAATTAATTGCTACAAAGTTCACTCTAACTTCAGCACCGGAGCAAAATCCTCACTTTCCTGAACCTGTTACTGGTGCATAACACGTATAAGAAATATAAGTGGGTGACAAACGTTTTCGAACTATCTTGCAGTTCTTCCTCAGGTCAACTAGCTTAAGAATGCTTCCGAACGGAGCGTGTGGAATTCGACGGAATTGAGTGTCATTTTGACGAAGTCAGTTTTGCTTGACGTGGTCATGAGCTGGTCGAGGTAGCCATGGGTCGACATCCAGAAGGAACTGCCAGGCCAGCGACAGATTTAGCTCCTCCTTCCAGTTGACGCACGTGGCTACTTGGCCTGTTTTGTAAATGGCTATGGATTCTAGCCATTTAAGGTGGTACTGATGGGGTGTGCTGATGATGACTGTAGCTCTGTCAAAGTGCGCCTTGACATCTGGATCGGATGCATACGTAGCAAGTGCAGTGGTGAACCACCCATGCTGGATATCTGCTCGGTGTTCCCTTACATGGGTACTTAGGGAACACTTGGTAGAACTGATGTATAATAAGTCCTTGCCCCACCTGTTGTCTTTCAGTGGAATGGAATAAACACAGGGAAGCCTGGTGTGATCTGGAGGGTCTTTTTTATTATGTAGGATATCGAAAATCATGGGACATCTCCTGTACGCTATCTGTTCCCGATGCTTGCTGGCTGTCTGTGTATGTACTGCTCTAAGATACGGGTTAAACGTGATGGGAACACGTGGGGAACTGTGAGGTTTCTGGTTGGCATTACCACTCGTGGTGGAGGTGTGTTCCAAGCGTTGGTGTTGCTTGAGTACATGGTTCAGAGGATAGCAACAGAACATGAGTACCCGACCCTGGCATGCCATTTACTCGAGCAAACTTGCTTATTCAGCTGTATTAAAGGCACTTTACCTTACACTGTGCCCAATGTTTACAAAAAGTAATGAAAATAATTTCGAAATTTTTCAGTTTGATTATTTTCTTTTGAATTTGACAGTTCACTTATCTTGTATTTNATCTTAAAATAAACTGACTATTTTCTTATATCAAGTTTCTAAAAATATATATAAAATATAAACATTAATTAATGTTAATAGAATTAACTATTTTAAAATTTTATGCAGATAATAGGTTTAACGATAGGTTGGCAACTTCGTATTATCAGTGTAAACCACGTGTTTAGTAAAATTATTCTTAGGAGTTTTAAACGTCATTTGTAAAAAATAGAAAGTTTGTAAACTTTAATTGATTTCCGTTAGATAGGAATGTAAGTAAATGAAAAGTTAACGTATTAAAATATTTATGATTGATTCGGATAAAGTTTTGTTAATTAATTAGAGCTATTGCTCACGTGTGGGTGTGGTTGATTAAGTAAAATGTGGTAAAATAGCTGCAACCATGCTTACGATAAACGGTTCAAAAATATTATATTGTTATAAATTCTTTTAAAACTACATTTTATTTATGTTTATCTTTATCTTAGAAAAGTCCTTACACTGAAATCATATTATTTTATGTACTACTATTTACATATTATCAATAACATATAAAATATAATAAACATCTGTAATATAATATAATTGTTGGCGGAAAATTATATAGATATTCTCAACTATTAAGGAATCAGAATAATATAATTTTTAAGAAAGTAAAACATTATATTGTGATTTTTGTTATATGTAAACAGTGAAAAAATACAATATTAGAAAAAGCATGTTTAGTTTTGAAGATGAACAAGTGAATATTAGTATTTTCTCAGACTATATTTCAGTTGAAATGGGAAGCTTCCAACATTAAGCAATTGGTTTTTCTGTTTTCTTTTGTATATAAGGTTTTCAAAGTCTAATATATATCATAGACTTTGTAAATGTCATAAATATATATCTTTGATATATATACCAAATATTCAGGAAANATCTATTAAGAGATAGTGCCTAACACCTGCCTCTAGTTTCAAATTATTTGGTAATATATTAATATTATAGCCATTTTTAGCTTGATAGCATATGATAGTGGTTGGCTTTGGTATTAAATGTAACAGGCTTAGTAGAGTTGTTTGTTAATTACTACGACTGTCTTTTTATGTCTTAGGCATATAAAAATCATAAACATAATAAATTGTATGTATGAACATATCAAGAAATTAAAATGTAATATAGGAATACCTTTTCAATAGTATGGTCATGATAATTTCATATTTTTGTATTGAATGACAATAAATATTCAACAGCAAATTTTAATGGAAACATGTATTTCATGTATTTAAAGAATAAATGTATATACAGTGAACACTGCTTAGGCGACCACCTGCATTCAATGGGCACCTGTCAAAATGGGCAAAAATTTCTGGCACCAAATAGTTTATCCATACAGTCTTTGTATAAGTTACCTGTATTAAATGACCATCTGTGTAACACAACCGCAGGCATCGATTTTTGGTCCGAAACAGCATACAACAACTGTAATAAGTAACCACTTCCATGAATATATCTGGTCTAAACTATTGTTCAACAATGTTTCCCCTCGCCTAATGTAATGAATTAGTCTAAACTCTTGTTCAAACCCACCTTGGGCACTTCTCCCACTCTTGAAATTAGGTGCAGGTGTTAATGAATTACTCTAGCAACAAAGGAAATTCACTTCAGTTTGAAATTGTCCAAAAAACGAAAGAAATGCAAAGTGCTGTCGTTAGATGTGTTAAAGTTATCACAACATAAAGTTTTTATGTTGTGAAGTTTATGGGAAAACGAAATTGATTTTACCATAGACCTACAGTATTTTCCTTGGGGGTATAAAATATTGTACATGATACAGTTAATCAGCTGATCTCATCATTTGATAAAATTTATTTTTATTTATTTATTTATTTATTTTGAAGCTTTTGATACAGTACATGTGCTGAAAATAAAGAGTTTTCTAGGTTTGTATTTTTAATGTACTAAAAAGCAATATCATATTTAGAGTAATGGATATATTAAAATTTCTAATAAAGTTGGACCTGTCTATCTTGAATCTAACAAGGAGAAAAAAAATTTGAGATAGGCAGGTTTCAAGATATAGAGGTTTCTACACAGTAAACAGTAATAAGTTTGATTGGAGGTACAGTATTTCACTAATATAATAGCAAATACAGTATACACTTTATACACTTGTATTAGATATAAATAAAACATTTTTTACATAAGAGAAATAATTTGTCAGTAATTTCTGATGACTGACTTTAATTAATAAAATGGAAACCAAACTCATAGCCAATCAGAGAAAAGCAGCATTAATTGAAACTATGTACTCTATTGCAAGAGGTGTTTCTCAACTATGTTTATGCTATCAAAATGTAGTTGTAATTGACACTTAAGTCCATAATTTGAGATAGAGGTTTCGGGAGAAAATTATTTGAGATAAACATGAAAAATATATTGAATTTAAGCTGAAAATGCAGAGGAAGAAATGAATTTTGAGATAACATTTTTGAGATAGACAGGTTTAATTGTATTTGCTTTCTATGTAAGGATTTAATGTTAAAGAATCTTCAAATACCGAATTAGTATAAAAATATCACTTACTAAAACCAATAACCGGTATTAAATAATCGTAAAATGTACTGCGAACGTTTTCGGTTCNCTTTGATAGATATATATATATATATCAAAGATATATGTTCCTGAATGATAGTATAGCTATTATAGTTGATTACTTTGGGTTATTTCTATAACAATTTTTTCTTAATTGTTTTATAAACTTACAAAAACTCATCCAATGTACAGCTTATGAGTAACTCTGATAAATGCATTTAAACTGCAACCATTTAATTATTTTTACTTTTTTTAATTGAATTGTTTTAAATTTAAACTAGTTAACCAAATTTTGTACTTTCATACATTTATTTAAAATGATAAAATAAATGTAAATGATTTTGTTGCTTATTGCATTTATTATTGAATTTCCTATGTAAGAATGTAAATTTATTTCAAATATGGATTATTTTCTATATTCCATGTTAAAAAAATCTGTATTAAAAGAAGAATGAATGTTTTCTTTTTATTGTGAACTTTTTTAATGAAGAATAATTATGCAGAAAATACATTGTAAGGTAGTATATGTTAATAAACTTAAAATTTAAATTTTTTTTATTCCACAATAAGAATGTATGAAATTAGTTATTTTTCATTATAGGAGTAATAATTTTCTTATTTACTAAAGGCCAAGAATATATTAACATTAAAATTGGTCTATTTCTGATTTTTATTTAATAAACTTTATTTAATAAATTTTTAAAAATTCATATTTGTGTACAAGGATCATAAAGATTAAATTCTTTTTTTAGACTTAATCTTATTCTAATCTTCAGAATAATCTAGGTTTTTCTTTTATGACATAATTTTAAGAGATTTAATGATACAGTATATTCTTTAAAGTAACCATCCAATGAAATTTGCTCTGTCTACATTTTTCTGCTGTTAATTTTAGTCTCAAAGAATTATTGTTATTAGGTAGAAAGTATCTATAAACTGCAGATAATGATTGAATATTGATTTACATTTTATTTAGAANTGCTTCTGGAGATGAATATATTTTACATAGTATTTGAATTCATTTCTTTAAATATATTTTATTCAATTTAATTTTATGTGCACGTTAATGTTTTCTTTTTAAAGAAGTGTATTATAAAATTTAACTCTGAAGTAATACTCTGTTACCATTTTAAACAAAATGAGAATAAGAGTGATAATTTTTTTTATTTGTTGAAAGATGATAAAGTGAAACTTGCTGTGTATGTAATCAAATGGTAAAACATTAAAGTAAATGTGCAGTATACATGAATAATTTCAGAAAGTATCTGCCAATTGTTTGCTCAATATTGCTATTTTCCCTATTACATTATCTGAATGATACTGTGCTTTTTCTCTTACCCTATTTATTTCTGTATTGTCTCAAGCCACTATGAAATAACATTTACATTTTTAATGGCTCTATCAAGCAACAACAGATGAATAATAATTCATATTTTACTATTTTTTTGATAGTATTTTACATAAAAGTATTTTACAATAGTGTAGCTATCTTTTTCCATTTTGGTGTAGATATACAGTCGGTTGTGCCCTAAATTTATTTGATGGGATGAAAATGTTGATAACATAGCATGTTTTCTCACTGAATATCTATGCTATATTTTATCTTAGAATTTTTAAAATTTATTAAATATCTTAATATAATTAAGTAAATAATTTATAACATAAATATATTTTTAAAATATTTGTATTTTTATAATTTACTATTAGGAGCAATTTGATTGGTCCACATGACAATGCAGAAAGAATTATTGATAAAACTTCTATTGAATCATATGTCTCAGGATCAGCTTTGTATCAAGTAAATAATTAGAGAAAATTTTTAAAGTATTATTTATTTTTGCATTCTAAATATTTTAATGTAATTAAATGACTAATGTAGAAATTCTAAAGTAAGAAAAATAGTATAGAATTTATTTTAGTAATTATTTTCAGTTGTGTATTAAGTAAATATTTACCTTTTCAAATAGGTGGAAGATATTTTAAGTAATGAAAGCAGAGATACAGTTTTTGATATTTTCAATCAGTCATTATCTGATACAATATGTTGCCACAATTTCGACCAATTTTCTAATCAATCACTTACTAATGAAGTGAATTTTACAGAAAATTCTCAGGTAAGATAAAAATTTTTTTTTTTGTGTTGCAAATATTCAAAAGTGATGATTTATAACAAGGCTTCTTAAACTTTTTTTATTCACGACCCCGTTTATGATTGTGATTTTTTTTGTGACCCAAAAAATATAAAATAAAGATATATATACAGATTTGCAAAAACAATAATAGTGTACTACCACAGTTCATTCTTGTGTTACAATGGAACAGAGACAACGGAAAAATGACAACACTACACTAGTTCACACTACAATCATTGTTGCTGAATCATTGTCTTGCTGCACCAGAAGTGACACAAAACACAACTCATGAAACCTATGATACAAAACCTGCCATTTTCAAACTCTCATGAATTATTTTCACTATTTTGCATTAAAATCTTGCGACCCCAAGATTTCGCTAAGCAACCCCAAATGGGATCACGACCCATAGTTTAAGAAGCCCTGATCTATAATAATTATGAAAAATTAAGATTGTTTTCTTTATTTTAAAAGAATTGTTTTCTTTATTTTATTTAAAAGAAATTATTTATTTCTTTATTTTCTTTATTTTTGTATTAAAATTTATGAAGGATAAGGTGTAGATATTATAACAAATTAATGTGTAGAATATTTATAAATGAATTTGTGTTAAACAAAAATATTATTTTTAAGTATTTAATGTTTGAACTGAAACTTCAAATTTAATTCAGTCAGTAATTATTTTAGGATATTATGTAAATAATAGTAATTGAACCCTTTTTTTGCAAAAACAATATATGTCAAAATCCATACTGTTGAAAAAATTGGAAAAAAATAATTTCTATTAATTTCCATTGCACATGGTCATCTCTTGTTCCCATTTGCCAAAACAGTGAGCTATTCTGAGGCTTTTGGTTTATTTCCAAAATATTGCCTTTGACAGGACCCAAGAAAAATTAAATTCTTGGTAACTGACTTAAGCTGTTCTTTTCAGAAACTTGACTCTCATAATTCTTTTTGCATGAAAAAGTTTGCATGTATCATTTCTGAGTCCTTGCTGTCCCAGCTGTTGTCTTCCTTTTCAATGTCCACACATTGTTTATCACCTGCAAAACTTGACAAACTTTTGTAGAACTACTTATTCTCTGCCTACTACAGGAAAGCTGACTATTTCAGCAGTCCACAAGTTTCTTGTCCGGTATAGGAATTGGATCATTGTAGGCTTGTGGCAATGTCAACTTATTGATCCACTTCTTTCAGCTTCTAATAAGAATATTTTTGTTTGGTCCAGAATGTTTGTCACGTATTTGAACAGCCTCTTCATCTTCAGTGACTTTTATAATCCTTGCTGATTTAAGATTCAACTTTTACTTGATAAATGGGTGATATTTGAATACCTTCAATCAGGAACCATGACAAATTTTTCTATTTCTTTCCTTTTGTGGTTTGTGTGGCTAAAACCATGAACTTTTGCTTCTCAAATAATTTCCTCTTCTTTCTTGGTTACAAACACTCATCAATATTGGACATTTTCAAATGATGTTGAGGCTACTGTGATTCAGAATACCTTTCAATGTAGTTGTTCATCTTGTAAGTCAACCTTTATCACAAAAACAGTAACTGTCAGAGACATCTGCTGTTTTTGTGAATAAATCTTGATGTTATCTGTTGATGTGTGGTTTTTGTAAAATCTCAAAATCTTTCATGTGGAATATTTCTGTTGGCATTAACTGTTGTTGCATAATATTTCATGTGCAAATCATCCATCATTAGAATTGCCAGATGCAATAAAAACCCATTTTCAACTAACTTTGACATATGATTTTCAAAAAAGGCCTCAATTACCTAAATTAATTGCTACAAAGTTCACTCTAACTTCAGCACCGGAGCAAAATCCTCACTTTCCTGAACCTGTTACTGGTGCATAACACGTATAAGAAATATAAGTGGGTGACAAACGTTTTCGAACTATCTTGCAGTTCTTCCTCAGGTCAACTAGCTTAAGAATGCTTCCGAACGGAGCGTGTGGAATTCGACGGAATTGAGTGTCATTTTGACGAAGTCAGTTTTGCTTGACGTGGTCATGAGCTGGTCGAGGTAGCCATGGGTCGACATCCAGAAGGAACTGCCAGGCCAGCGACAGATTTAGCTCCTCCTTCCAGTTGACGCACGTGGCTACTTGGCCTGTTTTGTAAATGGCTATGGATTCTAGCCATTTAAGGTGGTACTGATGGGGTGTGCTGATGATGACTGTAGCTCTGTCAAAGTGCGCCTTGACATCTGGATCGGATGCATACGTAGCAAGTGCAGTGGTGAACCACCCATGCTGGATATCTGCTCGGTGTTCCCTTACATGGGTACTTAGGGAACACTTGGTAGAACTGATGTATAATAAGTCCTTGCCCCACCTGTTGTCTTTCAGTGGAATGGAATAAACACAGGGAAGCCTGGTGTGATCTGGAGGGTCTTTTTTATTATGTAGGATATCGAAAATCATGGGACATCTCCTGTACGCTATCTGTTCCCGATGCTTGCTGGCTGTCTGTGTATGTACTGCTCTAAGATACGGGTTAAACGTGATGGGAACACGTGGGGAACTGTGAGGTTTCTGGTTGGCATTACCACTCGTGGTGGAGGTGTGTTCCAAGCGTTGGTGTTGCTTGAGTACATGGTTCAGAGGATAGCAACAGAACATGAGTACCCGACCCTGGCATGCCATTTACTCGAGCAAACTTGCTTATTCAGCTGTATTAAAGGCACTTTACCTTACACTGTGCCCAATGTTTACAAAAAGTAATGAAAATAATTTCGAAATTTTTCAGTTTGATTATTTTCTTTTGAATTTGACAGTTCACTTATCTTGTATTTTATTTAGAATATTTCTAAGGTTAATTAATTTTTTATATATATAATTAAAGTGATTGAAAGTAATTTTCTTGATTAAAAACAGCATCACATTTAAAAGTGTTAATTTATTTTAGTATTAGATTATATTAAATAGATTTATTTAAATATTAAAATTTGCTGTTAATATTTATATATTAAACATAATATTTTATCATTTCTCTTGCAGCCATATCATATTAACAGTGATAAATATAATGACTTCAAATCAGAAATGAGGAAATTTCAGTTGAATAAAGTGTGGCCTGATCAGCTAGATATTTTAGCAGGCCCACTTTTGGAGGATGATGATGATTGTTATAGTGAAAATAATTCATCAACTTGTGGATCAGAAACAAATAAGGTAACAGATACCAAAACAAATGGTGAAACAGCTTTAATTTTGAATAGTGCTATGACAGCTGGGATTGTACAGTTTGGGATTGACAGAAAAATGTTTCATATTGATAGTATTGATTATAAAAATGATAAAATACATATATATAACAAAAGTTCTGAGTTGGGTAGGATAATCAAACTATCAAGAGTTGAAGATGATGATGAAGAAATTGATATTGTAACTGTAGATGACGATAATAATATTAAAGACAATTCTCAATCTTGTATGATATTGAAAAGCAATAATAATGAACAAAAACTAATCAGTCAGGAAAGTAGAACTTTGCCAATAAATACATTTAACAACAATAAAGATGATTTAGAAAATAATAGGATTGATGAAAATGAACAGTCTTTATATGATTCTGAAAAAAGTAATGAAACAGGTAAAAGCCGTAAATTTTCATACGTTTTATATTTGAATTTATTGTAAATTTTAAAAAATTCTGAACTTTAGTTCTTGTAGCACCAGATTTAAATAGTCTCTTAGAACAGTTTGAAGCTACACAAGGCAAGTTAATATTTTTATTCTTATTTTATTTAACTGATGTAGATTCATTATTACTTATATCAGAAATTGTTATTATTATTATTTATCTTCAGTATTGAAAGATAAATGTTATATATTGAATTTGAAATTGAATATTGAAAGATATATGTTATTATTATATTTGAATAGTTTTATTAAATAATTTAAAAATTTGTATTTATATTTTTTCAATACAATTTATTTTTTAGAAACAAATGAACATAAAGATGAAGAAAATGAAAATAAAGAGTTTTCTAGGTTTGTATTTTTAATGTACTAAAAAGCAATATCATATTTAGAGTAATGGATATATTAAAATTTCTAATAAAGTTGGACCTGTCTATCTTGAATCTAACAAGGAGAAAAAAAATTTGAGATAGGCAGGTTTCAAGATATAGAGGTTTCTACACAGTAAACAGTAATAAGTTTGATTGGAGGTACAGTATTTCACTAATATAATAGCAAATACAGTATACACTTTATACACTTGTATTAGATATAAATAAAACATTTTTTACATAAGAGAAATAATTTGTCAGTAATTTCTGATGACTGACTTTAATTAATAAAATGGAAACCAAACTCATAGCCAATCAGAGAAAAGCAGCATTAATTGAAACTATGTACTCTATTGCAAGAGGTGTTTCTCAACTATGTTTATGCTATCAAAATGTAGTTGTAATTGACACTTAAGTCCATAATTTGAGATAGAGGTTTCGGGAGAAAATTATTTGAGATAAACATGAAAAATATATTGAATTTAAGCTGAAAATGCAGAGGAAGAAATGAATTTTGAGATAACATTTTTGAGATAGACAGGTTTAATTGTATTTGCTTTCTATGTAAGGATTTAATGTTAAAGAATCTTCAAATACCGAATTAGTATAAAAATATCACTTACTAAAACCAATAACCGGTATTAAATAATCGTAAAATGTACTGCGAACGTTTTTGGTTCCTTCCCTAGGACCTTTCTCAAGCAGCGATTCGTCTTTAGAATAACCATGAACGAAGACCAATAAATATCGTTCAAGGTTATTCTAAAGACGAATCGCTGCTTGAGAAAGGTCCTAGGGAAGGAACCGAAAACGTTCGCAGTACATTTTACGATTATTTAATACCGATTATTGGTTTTAGTAAGATTTAATGTTAATTACTACTGTATGCTATCAAACTAAAAATGGCTATAATATTAATATATTACCAAATAATTTGACACTAGAGGGAGGTGTTAGGTGCCATCTCTTAATAAATTTAATAATTATAATTTTTAATTAAATAATTTAGATCTACTGGAAGAAAAGAATCAGCCCAGAGTGGAACCTGCAACTCCTGCTTACCATGTGGATGCATTACCAGTTATGCTACTCTGACCTCCAGTCTGATCCTGTCTTTCAGTATATAACATACTGGAAGATGGGCATATATATAAACAAATAACTCTACTAAACTTGATACATTGTAATACCAAAGCCGTATGCTATCGGGTATTGTTTATATATATACTTTGCCGGCATATACAATGGCTGGTTGAGTGCCTTATGTGGGAGTTTACAGGATGAGGACACTTGATGTGTCCCCAGCTGGCATTGTAGTAACCAACGATGGTTATAGCATAATGTTATATATACTGGAAAATGGGATTGGACTGGAGGTCCAGGTAACATAATTGGTAAAGCATCTGCATGGTAAGCAGGAGTTGCAGGTTCGAGTCCCGCTTTGGGCTGATTCTTTTCTTCCAGTAGATCTAAATTATTTAACTAAAAATTATAATTATTACATCTATTAAGAGATAGTGCCTAACACCTGCCTCTAGTTTCAAATTATTTGGTAATATATTAATATTATAGCCATTTTTAGCTTGATAGCATATGATAGTGGTTGGCTTTGGTATTAAATGTAACAGGCTTAGTAGAGTTGTTTGTTAATTACTACGACTGTCTTTTTATGTCTTAGGCATATAAAAATCATAAACATAATAAATTGTATGTATGAACATATCAAGAAATTAAAATGTAATATAGGAATACCTTTTCAATAGTATGGTCATGATAATTTCATATTTTTGTATTGAATGACAATAAATATTCAACAGCAAATTTTAATGGAAACATGTATTTCATGTATTTAAAGAATAAATGTATATACAGTGAACACTGCTTAGGCGACCACCTGCATTCAATGGGCACCTGTCAAAATGGGCAAAAATTTCTGGCACCAAATAGTTTATCCATACAGTCTTTGTATAAGTTACCTGTATTAAATGACCATCTGTGTAACACAACCGCAGGCATCGATTTTTGGTCCGAAACAGCATACAACAACTGTAATAAGTAACCACTTCCATGAATATATCTGGTCTAAACTATTGTTCAACAATGTTTCCCCTCGCCTAATGTAATGAATTAGTCTAAACTCTTGTTCAAACCCACCTTGGGCACTTCTCCCACTCTTGAAATTAGGTGCAGGTGTTAATGAATTACTCTAGCAACAAAGGAAATTCACTTCAGTTTGAAATTGTCCAAAAAACGAAAGAAATGCAAAGTGCTGTCGTTAGATGTGTTAAAGTTATCACAACATAAAGTTTTTATGTTGTGAAGTTTATGGGAAAACGAAATTGATTTTACCATAGACCTACAGTATTTTCCTTGGGGGTATAAAATATTGTACATGATACAGTTAATCAGCTGATCTCATCATTTGATAAAATTTATTTTTATTTATTTATTTATTTATTTTGAAGCTTTTGATACAGTACATGTGCGATAAATAGTTTCTGTATCAACCTACCTTATTTCCACGATATTTTTAGAAAAATAATATCCAAGTAATTTTTGCTCACAAAATATTCAAAAAACAATAAACGCATTAATGCAAAAATCAGTTTTACAGGCAACCTTCCTTTTTTGATTCTGCAATGACAATCGCAGAATCTAATGAAATTGTATAATGAGAAAAAATAATAAAATTGTTTTATTATTAATTAATAATTTTTCTTATTGTACTTAAGAAAATATTTAAAAAATACAGTATTTTTAAAGTTAAAATAAGATTAAACTAACAAATACCAAAACCAAAGTGATGTAGAGATATGATGTGCTTGTATATCAATGACATAATACACATAACTATGAAGTGAATGAAAACAACCAAGTTGAATTAATTAAGTTGGAAAAAAGAAAGTGTGCATTATAATAGAGAAAATGCGACTATTGTATTAATCTTTAAAATATTGGTATTAAGTCTGTCTTGTAAAATCACGATGACTCCTGTAAATCGAGTTATCCGATAAGAATAAAATACATTACCAACATAGCCCTATTGTTGAAAAACTTTGCTTGCTTTTGCCCACGTTTTGCTTAGTGGAAATGGCTGAAAAGTGCACAAAATACGTACAGAAATATGATATTACAGCATCATTTGTATTGGACGACTACTTGTCTAAAAGACCACTTTTTGAAGGAACTGTGGGTGGTTGCCGTAACAGGTTTCACTGTATTAGTAATTTAAGTTTTATAAGATGTTGGATTTTTGCTTAGAACTAAATGGAAGTGTTTGAGATGAAATGTTTGAATTAGAATTTAGATCTACTGAAAGAAAAGAATCAGCCTGGAGTGGGACTCGAACCTGCAACTTCCACTTACCATGCAGATGCATTACCAATTATGCTACCCGGACTTCCAGTCTGATATTATTTTTATTTGACATATATATAAACAAATAACTCTACTAAACCTGATACATTGTAATACCAAAGCTGTATGCTATCAGATATTGTTTATATATATATGTATGTGTACCTTTAGACCAGATGTTTGGACAATTTTTGCATTTTGAAGGGAGCAATGAAATTTATTATTGTTATACAGTATCTATAAATTGTTTATAAATTTTTGAAATGCTAATTAAGTAGTAATTTATAAATTATTTGTATTTATAAGTATTATTATATAAAGTAAGTTTGAATTAGAAAGTTATTGTAAATAATAATTTCATTATAAAGTTTTTTATATAAAATTTTAATGATAGAAAAAATCTTCAATTATGTTGAAATTGAATAAAAGTTGCCAAGATAAAATTCAATTACGATTTTTAAATTATATATCAAATAATAATAGTACAATATATGAAATTAAATACAGATGATAATTGAAATAATTATATATTTAAATATTATAAATTAATGTTTATATTAAGAATGCTAAAAGTTAAGGAGTCCTTTTGAAGGTTTTAAAAGTTAAATATTTTTTTGAGATGTTTCATTTCATCTTCGGTTCACAACTTGTAATAAAGAACAGTTAGTCCATTATAGACTTTTTATTCTAACAGGTTGGCTTAACTTGTTTTTATGCCTTAAAACATGAATTTTCAGTAATGTACTATCTTCAAACATTCAAATAGTGCAGTTTGAGTATGTTCGAAAACTTTTTATTCAAATCAGTTTATTTTGAAAAATTTGTTTTTTTAGTTGTGATGAGACAAAACATCTTAAAAACTATTTAATATTGATAAAAGCTTCAAAGAAAACTTCTTAGCTTTGTATTCTTAATGCTTACAATACTTAACTAATGGAGTCATATAGTTTTTGAACAGATATATATTTAATACTTGTTTATTTCATTGGTTTTCTATTTGCTTTTTGTATATATATATATATATATAAATGGATGTGCTTGTGCCTATATGTCACTCTGCAGCCAAAACTACACATCGCACATGAATGGTGTTTGTGTGTGGTAGTAGGCCCAAATCTCCCATTGTGCACTATGGTGGTCGCATCTCGATAGCTATAGGGGTGTGGGAGATATGGGGTTTGAAAGTGGTTGACTTCGAAAATGTGTAATGCTTCAATGAGAATGTTCCAGTTTTTTCTAGAAAGTTCCAGAACCTAGAGGTGAAATGTGGTACACATTTAGGGTACATCATGAAAATGTATGCTAAGAAGGGATTTTTCAAAATTCCCCCGTGGGGGAGAGAGGAAGCATTAAGGCTTAACTTGAAGAACTGCTTCTACTGTACTATTTTAGATGCAATTTTTTTTGTTTTTAATTACGTTTAGTCTTCATTGAGTACTTAGGTATTAAATTGATAACATTTCAGACATTGTTATAAATATTTTCATATATTTCGATTTTTTAATCAAATGTTCGAGCCGTTTTAAATTCAAATTTGTTATTGCATATTGGTTTGATTATAGAACGATTGTAAATGTTCCAGAAAATTTATCAAATTAAAAACAGTTTGTTTGATTCTCAGCAATTCTCATCATTCTCAGCAGTAGGTGTTAAATAACAATTACTATGGTTGTTGCAATATTGAATGTAAATAGGGTTTGCTTGCAAAATTTATGCGAGCGAAGCCGCAGGTAACAGCTAGTATCATTTTAATAATAATCTGTTGTTTATTTGAACAAAATGATATTGAAACTAATTGTTTTTGTTTTCAGATCAAAAATGTCAGCAGATTGTGAGTTTACTCCAAAAGGTAAAACATGAGTATAATAAATGAATATTTTTAATGAATAATTTTGAAATAGTTGGTTTAGTTTATTTTAATGAGTCAATTTTATTTTAAAGACATAGATTATTGCATATTAATATAATTTTTAATTGACTTAATAAAACTTTATGTAGTCTAATTCAATATGATTATTTAAGAATTTATTCCTGTTTAAGAAAATAGATTTATTCTAGTGTAAATGCTTAAAACCATTTTTTCAGATTGTTAAACATTAATATGATCTTTATCAGTTTGCAAATAAATTTTTTTTTTTTCAGCTGTGGAAATAGTCAAATTTATATCTGTACTTTGCTTTACTATCTTATTTATTATGCTATATTATATTATACTATCACTTGACTATTTATATCTATACTAAATCTATATCAGTTATATATATATATATATATTTATTTATTTATTTGCTAGAGGTAATTTCAGAATCTACCAAACCTATTTTTAAAATTTCACTATTGGATAGCTTATTACTTCCAGATAAACATAGGCTATATACTATTTTCATATTAAAAAGGAAAAATGCACAAGAATGATGTTTTCACCATGGCATTTTTTTCTCATTATTGTTTTGTTATCTGTTCCATCTGCCCTCTTCACCACATGATGGGCTTCTTTAAACTTACTATCTTATGTATTAGGTTTCAGTTTTGATTTGTGCAGTTTGGGTAGTTGTGTAAATGTTTTGTTTATATTGTCTTGGCCATACATTTCTTATAATAATAATCTTATGTTATCAGATGAGACAAGTTTGGTGTGACAATGTGGCTAGTATTGTTCTTAGTGAAAATGATTTTTATATACAGCTAGAATAAATAAGTGGTAAATAAAATAATTGTCATTAATGTCATAATTGTTGATTTTATATTTTGAAGTTGTATGTAGACTCTGATAGCCAGCAACAGATTTGAGAAATGATTACTTAGCTTTTATTCACTGTAGAGAACAAACACTAAATCAACAGTTGGCTTCTAAATAGTTCTTTGTGAGTCATTATATTGTATATATAAAAGGGAGTTAACAGAATTTATCAGCTTTCAAGATACAAGTTTGTATGACTAGTGATATTTGAAATTGGATTGACATATAGAAAAGGAAAAAAAAAACTAAAAGTGAGGCATACTTATAAATTTTTTTGATAGTTTTCAGAAAGACCACAATGGAGATGAATATATATGGTACATAAAAGATATTTCGTGATTATTAAAAGAGGGTCTTAAGTTTAGAAAAAGGGAATGCTGTTAGGTGAGGTTGTAATTACAATTTAAAATTGATAGATAACCCATACCCCTTATCAAATTGATTTTAAAATGCAGATAATCCAAATATTATTTGCAGGAAATTATAGTAAATTTTTTATATTTTGTCATTTTAATATTTCTTAATAGTTATATTTTTATTTGTATATGGATTTCTACATTATAATTTATAGCTTACTTAGGATGTAGATTTTATACTATTATTTTATTGATATATCAAATAATTCAGTTTAATAATTTATGAATAATGTTAATACTGTTATTATTATTAATATGATATTAATTGTTTTTCAATTTTTTACAGGTACACTTGCTTCATCTGTTATTGAAAGAATTAAATCATCTATGACTCCAGCACGTGGTACAATTATGATTTCTCATGAGACAGTTTTAAATTCAACTTCACCTCATAAATTAGTTTCAGATTGTTGTACAAAATTTCAGAATTTGCTTCCTTTGAAAAGAAATATGCCTTCTTCCAGTTCTCCTAATAAAGATTCTGTTAAAAATGCAAAGAAAATAATATTTTCTAGTGCTGACCATGATTATTGTTCCACTGAAACTTATTATAATAAGATACCAGATTATTTAACAGAATTAAAGCCACAGTTTGGAATTAGTTCTAAAATTGAAATGGAAGAAAAAGAAATGGATATTAACATAGATGATCATGAAATGGTAGAAAACAAAAACATTTCTGAAGAATGTGTTGATAATGAAATAATACAGAGCCAAATAAACAAAACAACAAATGTGCCTTTATCTTCAGTAGATTATTCTGTATCAAAGTTAGTAGAGAATAGCATTGATTCAAATTGCAATGAAATAGAGACTAAGTTTCCATCTGTAAGTAGTAGCAAAGAAAATTTACAGATCATATCTAAGATAGAAAAAACAAAGCATTTCCTTGAAAATTTACCAGATGAATTGGAAAAACAAAATTTTGAAGTTTCAAGTTCAAAATTCTCTGACTTTCAATTAAGAAAATATCATTCTAGTAGTGAGAACAATTCTCCAAACAGAAGTCCATTAAATTATGCTCTTCCTAGAAGATCAAGATCAAGATCTCCTTCTAAGCATCTTAAAAAGTTTAGAAATAGGTAATTGAAATTTATTTTTAAAAAAATAATTTAGTGAAGAAATAATATTCATAATCATAAACACTATAAATTTGAAATTAATTTAAATAATTGCTTGAGTTCATAATATTTAGTTTTGAAAACAGAAGACACTTTAAGAATTTATTAACACATTTGTTATTATTTATTTTTAATAATTAATGTTAGTAATTTTATTATTTGTAATTAAAAATTATCATTTACATTATTTTTGTCAACAGTTATGTTAAATAAGAATTACTTTAATAATACAAATATATATGTTTTAAATTAAGCATTGTACACTAGTCTCATAATTTCTTTTTATTCATCACCTAATTTTGACTTCATTGATTTCTTAAAATATAATGCAATAATTTTTCAGATACACAAGTTACTTCAAAAGAGTATTTGCTTTTGCCCTAATTTATTCTCAAGATGAAAAGAATTTTAAAAAAAATTAAATAAATAAATTTGAAATGTTTTCAAATAACATATTTTATTTTACCTTTCTCTTAATGTTAATTATGGGGCAATATAGGTTAATCTTTTGTTTTATCTAAGACTACAGTGAGTGATCGGTTAACGAACAGTTCAGATAGCGAACAGATCGGATAATGAACATTTTTGTGAAAAATTTTTATGATTGGACAATAAACACATGTTTGGATAATGAATACTTTACTGAAAAAACATAAAAAGAAGCGATGGAAAATAATGAATACTGATTGATTTTCCCTTGTCTTCAGGTAACAATTCAAAACCTTTCAGAGTGCTGGAGATGTCAACATTGATGCTCAACCTGATACCGATCAGATAGTATTCCTCCGAATTTTGAAACTCTCCCTTGTAATTTCAGCTTTTTGTTTACCTTTCTGACAAATAATTTTTTATAGTCTTCGTGAGACTGTCGGACGGGCACTTGTTAAGTTTTGCTTGGGGTTTACATACAAAAGGTGAAAGTTTAACTGTCTCATCGGATATTCATTAATGTTTTAATATCAAATTTTGAATTTTATCTGGGCCTTGCATTTAAATGAATTTTTGTGGGCTAGTTGATTTCGGTTCTCTGAATTTTTGTAAGTGCTTTTCTGAACTTTTTATTTAAAAAAGAAACTGATAATTTTATGGAGCCTAAAAAGAGGAGTGTCAAGAACTTGCTCATCATAGAAACCAAGTAAGATATAATAGCCAAGGTAGAAAGTGGGCACAAGATGTCTGATGTTGTTAGGCGGTATGGCTTGAACAGGTCTACAGTAAGCACAATCTTAGCTATGAAAGATATATCAAGCTGCTAATGCAGTAACGAAAATCACATCTGAGAAATAATGGCTCACAATGGAACCTGAAACTGATCTGATGACAACAGAACTCCAAGAACTCTCAAATGAAGAATACCAAGAAACTCAGCAAGATGTGTTTTCTTTTGAAAAAGAAAACGATGAAAGAGGACCAATTCTGACATCTGCTACTAAAGATCTTTTGAAGAAGTTGGAGGATGGCAGAACAATGATCATATAAGTGGCATCCAAACCAGAATAAGGTTAATGGGGGTTGGGGATCTCTACAATTACAATACCATTAATTACTTCCAAAAAATTCTGAAGAAAAGAGAAAAGCAATCGACTTGGACAGATTCTTTAACCCCCACAAACAGAAAAATCATGACTAATAAAAATTCAAGACTGCATATATATGTATTTTTACTATTACATATAAATAAACAGTAAAAAGGTATATATTTTTTATTTTTTCCATAATGAATTAATCAAATTCCCATAAAAACCTATAGTAAATCAATAATCGGTTAATGAACAATTCGGATAACGAACAAAGTCTTGGAACGGGTTATGTTCGTAAACTGATCACCCACTGTATTTATTTTTAAAAAAGAAATAATGATGATGATATAAATTTAAAGAGTAGAAATGGTTTAAATGTCTTGGTTTTTACTATAAATTTTATTTTTCTGAAATTAAAAATATTTTTGAGTATAAAATTTTAATTTTAACCATTAGAAGATATAAATATATAAATACAGAGTGATGAATTAAACTAATATTAAAAGTGTATATTGATAGATAAATCATAAAAATGAAATTAGTAAATAAATCTATTCATATTTTAAAAATATTTAAAACTAACAGAGTCAACTTCAAAATATACTTCAGAGTCAGTTAAATTTAAAACTTAATGTATATTGAAAATAAACATATGTACAGTTACAACTAAAGTTCACATATAAGAATTACAAACATTAGATATTAACAAAGTTCAAAGTAATCATCCACTGCAACAGGTCCATCGGAAAAACACCTTGCGACGTACAAATTCAAAGTCCACAACAATACAACAAGATGAGGCAATCTTCTAAGACAGCTTAGGCGAACTAAGGTCAGCGTGAGTTCACTTCCTAATGTCCGAAGCAAACTGATCTTCCCGCCAGAACTTCAATGCTTTTATAGGATTGAAACAGCATTGGATTCCACCAATCAGCATTTACCAGCTCTATAAGACGTCCGCCGATGGTCTG